CATCATGCACGCTCGCGAAGAAAGTCGACTAGCAGAACGCACGACCAGCGCCCACAGCAGGCCCGCGTTACCCGCCAAGTCCTTCCTGGACTCCCCACATTCGCCGGGAGTCATCCTCTACGGACCTCCCGCCCTCGTCCTCGCGATGCCATCCCATCGCACAAAGTCGTCTCCGCACCGACAGAGCGCAGATCGTACCGCCCATCGCCATAGGAGGCGCCGCGCGCGCAAAGGCGGTGCACCGGCGCAAGCTGATGGCCCCCTGCCAAGATGGGATCTCGGAGCATCATGGCATGGTCGGTCGCGCAAGGCGGCGCGGGGACGAAAGTGGGATGGGCGCTGGATCGCAATTGATTTGGCAGATGGGACCGGCTGAAGGGGCGAAAGCGGTGGGGTGACGAGTTAGGGAGTCTGGGAGACAGGGAGGGCACGACGCTTGGCGAGGGGAGGGCGGGCTTGGGCTGGCAGATGGCTGGAGAGCGCAGACTGGGGAGAACTCGTTCGGGATCGAAAGCGGGAGAGGCGAGCAGAGTGCGGGAGGTGCAGAATGAAGAGGGCAGACAGAAGGAAAGGAGACATAAGGAAAAAGGATGATAGAAGGGACTTACAGACAGTGTATGCGGGCCATGGCTCGCGGTCTGGCGGGAACCTGAACATACGTATGAGCGGGTTGTTTTCTTTAGAGCTTGTACGCGACGCACATAGTGACGTCTTGGGGCCTTGGGCCATATTTGTGAATCATGTCTTTTCGGCGGCGGACGATCCGCTGGTATCGAGCCTCGGAGGCAGCAACGCGGACGGGTAGGCTGGCGTCGGCAGATGCCACACGGACAGCATTGCGACTTGAACGGGGATCGAGTGCGCCGTCAGGGGAGAGGAGGAAGAAGGTGGAGAGGAGGACGAAGGCGAGGAGGAGGGCGTAGCGGGGATGTCTCTGACAGAGAGCGAGGTTCAACGGCATCGCGGCGGACAAGCGATTAAGTGTGATCGACGAGGCAGCGTGCGCAGTGAGAATCGCGGGACAGCACAGAAGGAGCGTCGGCAAGAAGGGTAGTGTACAGCGTTGAGAGCAGGGAGGGCTGCTGCGGCGAGTGGGAAGCTGCTGGCACGATAGATCTTGGCCACCTCGGCGCCCATCCAATCGAATCCACTCCTTGGCGGCAAACGTCCAGGCACTCCCGCCAAGCCGTCCCTTATTGGGCAGGCGCGGGCGGCGGGGGCTGTCGGGACGTGATCGATGCATGCCCGTGGCACCGATTCGGCATGCATTTCCCCACTGCCGGCGCTCGGCCGCCATCTGAACAAAACTCGGCAGCGCGCGTAGGCTGACCTTCACTGCCCAAGTTTGCTGAGACTGTGTTCCGCTCTCTCGACTTGCTCCTCTCGGTTGGTTGCTCCCGCCCAAGCCTATGACGCATCCTCACCCGTAGTCCATGCCTGCCTCAGCCGCTCGCCGAGGGCATCGTATCCTCCCCTCTCCCTGCCTCGTTTTGTTCTCGCCTCTCTCGGCTGCCCAGCGACTCCGTCACTGGCTGTTCTCGACGTATCTCGCTCACTACCGACACTGACGCAATAAGTCGCCAGCCTTAAGACATGCTACCCATCCAGACATTATAACATAGACGACGGTGCGGAAAACGGCTCCTGTTATACATGCTGCCATGCATAGCACCTTTGCTACAGTATAGGGCGCGACGTAGAGCTTGGCTGCCCGCCCTTCGCTCTCGACTGCCCCAGCTTACAGAGATGACCGACTCGCTCCTCTCCGGAGGTCTATCCGTGCTCGCCGATCGATTTGCTTCCGCCCAAGCCTATGACGCACCCGCCTTGATCCCATGACTGCCCGAGCCACAGCACGGCAAGTGGCCGATACCACGGGCGTCGTAATCGTATCCTCCACGCTCCTGCCAGCATGCTGAGACTGGGAGCCGACTGGAGACACCTCGTCCTGCGACTCGGTCACCAGCTGCTATCGACGTTCCTCTCGCTCGCTTTCAAGTGCTAGTGAACTTGAAACTACCTGCAATGCCACCTTGCTATACGTCGTCTCAATCGTTCGTATTGCGACTGAGGCCGACAGCACACCCATTCCGTCCATTTTTTGGCTTGCCCCAGGCTCCTCCCCATCTCGCTTTCGGGAGTTTGGGGGGCCCCCATCCTAGGGAGGGATACAGTGCCACATCCTAGACCGATCAGCCATGTGCTCGATCATGATGTGATCACTAATTTCGAACTCCCCACTCTTATTCCCCTCCAACTCCCTATAGCGGCTGGGAGAAAACATGTGTAAATAACGGAGGTCAGAGGCTGACCTTCTCCAATTGGCAGTCAGCAAGGCCAGAAAATAGATTATTGATAGGTGCCTGTAATAAATTTCCGGCAACTCTAACATTCATTGATAACAGTGGTTACAAGAGTCCTGCTACGGCAAGGCATCAATAAACGGCACTCAACAGCATGATTCAATGGTGAGGATTTCCATGGCTATCTAGAGCAGTGCAGATCATTGAGGGTGACACCATGGTTGAGTGACTGAGTCCGGAGCTGTGAGATGTGAGAGGCTCTCTTTTGCATTTTTGACTCCTGGTATCATGTTTTTGATTGCAGCATTGAAGTTGTCATAGACAGACCTTACAAGGAATGCCTCTGCCAGTGTGCAGATATCAGAAGCACTCTCCTTTGAGGGTAGATGGGCTGAGCATATTTGCACGATGCAATAGGTGTAATATTTGATTCCTGATTAGGTCAGTACAAAAATAGCACTCAGGGAGCACCAACTACTACTTTGGGGCAGCTTGCATCCGACCTCTGTTATTTACACATGTTTTCTCCCAGCCGCTATAGGGAGTTGGAGGGGAATAAGAGTGCGGAGTTTAACATTGGCTGAGTCTGAAATGTGTGGCTGAAATGTGGCTGAGGTGGCGGGAGGAAGCACAATGTCCCACCCATAGGATGGGGCCCCCCAAACTCCCGCAAGCGAGATGGGGAGGAGCCTGAACTTGCCCTTGTAGCGCCGCATGTCAGATAGAGTGCGAACGCAAGGAGATAACCGAGGCGGACAATCCAAAGATAATTTGGCTGTCTGTAAGAGCATTCGAGGTAGTCATATTTGCCCACTCGTTCTTTGCTGATCGTGGTGCCCAGTCGACTACTTCTGGATGCTTGGGCGATGCATCACGTTCCCATTGGAGGTGACCTACTGCCCGACTCTTCGATCGGCCTCAAACATTCTCGCGCTCCTTTAATTAATCATCTCGTCTGTGCCGTTCAACAGGCTATTGCATGGTGCGATAGGCTCAATCTTAGTCGCCACATCTACTCCAGAGGTCATCGCCCGTAACTCGTGCGATTGTTCCTCGGGCGTGGTTCCATCTGGCCGTTTCATTCATCCTATCACTTCACGTCTACTCGTGCGGCCTTGGGATATGCTCGACTTGTCCAGGATTCGCACATGTGACTTTATGGAATAGACGACACTGCAAATCCCGGGCGCTATTTCTGCTACAGTGCCTGCGGGCGACTTACGATAACCTGGAACTATGCAGTATCAGTCTCCTGCAATGCCACCTTGCTATACTTTGCCTCAACCGAGTCCTCATCGTTGACGGTGCGACTGAGGCTGACGATCTCCGTCACGCCGACTCTGCGCAGTTCGTCCGTGGTGGGCTCGCTGACGCTGGCGATGCGGTTCAGCACGGACGGCCGGTCGGCGACGAGCCAGAGGACGTGTAACACGCCCATGCCGTCCATTTTGTGTCTTGCCCTTGTGGCGCCGCATGTCAGGTAGAGTGCGAACGCAAGGAGGATAACTGAGGCGGACAATCCAAAGATAACCTGGCTATCTGTGAGAGCATGGCGTGATAAAAGGCGTATCGCTACTCACTGCTGTAAGATTCAACTACCAGACACCGGTTCAATACAGAAAGGATTGCGACAATCGAGCGAGACTCACATTGAGGCGGGATACAGTTTGTGGAACTTGCGTGGAACCGTTGGCGAGTGTTAAGTAGTCCCCTTGCGTGTCTGGCGCAGGCATATGAGCCGCTGTGACGATGTAAGCGAGCAATCCTTCAGGAAGACCATCCCACTCACCTGCCCAGAACATAGACGCGGTCAAGCGATCTGAGAAGAAGCTATCAGCATGCGCCACACCGCGCACCAATCCTAACATCGCTCACTAAGAGTATCTTCAAAATCTGTCAAAGTCACATTATGGGATGTGAACAGAGTCTCGTTGAGCACGTTGACGATGAACCTGGAGCAGAATCAGCAGGAGCATAATCCTTGAATGCCACCTCACGCAACTCTGACGTCTGTATGCTCGCCATGTCAGTTTCTGTAAAATCTGATAAGTTCATCACTGCGCCAGGTGGATCCGCCGAGCTAACTAGCATGTCGGCCCACTGCATACGCATACAGACTCGGTGAATGCATCGATCTACTCAGGATGAGGACCTACGGAATCCACCTGCAAGTCCTCACGATCCTGCGGAAAGGCTTGAAAGCCAGGCTTCCACGCTGTCCACTCGGATGACCGTCTGGTAGCTGCTCCGGAACCCATCCCGACGATGTATCGTGTACCGGCATCCACGGTGACGTTCGTTGGGCTCCATGAGAGTGTACAGCCAATGATTTGCAAGTAGTCGAAACCTAGGAAGGGATGCAGTCAGACGCAGATTGCCTTCGGAGCAAATTCTATAAAACTCCACACCAGACCCAGATAGAGATACATGTGACCCAAGTCCTCCACTGCCGTCGGTGACATTAAAGCTCGTTACGAATATGGCATTGCGGCCCTACGAAGATATCAAGACTTCCTTTCAAGCCGTTCTCGCGCCGACAGGAGCGGAACGCACGAGAAGCAAGGTTGCGTTTATGTCCTGGTCGTACCATGTGATCCGCATCAGCGAGCCGAGCGCTGCGTTGCAAACTGCAGTCAGTCCTTCACGACCGCACACCTAAACGAAAATGCGATTCACTCATGCCGCCTATAGTGAAATTGAAGCTGATGTTGTAATCGTCACTCGCGACGCTGACAGTCCACTCGTCTTGGTCCACGCCATCACTCGTGCCAGTGGGATTTGGCAGGGAGTGACATGTAACGTTCGCTGTCATGGCACTGACAGTGACGTCGCCTACACCACCACTGTTTGGGTCCAGTATGTCGTACAGCGTGTTATTGGCGAGACCGAGCGTGGACTGGTCATCCGAAAGTAAAAGGTACGGCAACAGCGTCGCCGTCGTGGCCCAGAGGCTCGGCGCATACACAGAGTGGAAGCTGTTCGTCTCCGCTGTGAGATTCGTAGCAGGCCCAGATACATGCGTCGACTTACAGCGTAGGGTCGCCGACGCTGGGCATACCCGCGATGAAGCCGACCGGTAGTGCGCCCGTTTGGTTGAACGCGTCCATGGAAAACAAGGCCGGCGTGCTGATGTGCAGGATGGACAGACAGCCTAGATACACCGTGACCCCGAGCGTTCCGAACACGGCTGTGGGGATGGACAGTTGTCTCCAGAGACTCAACAGTCCCGCGCCGAGGCCTGTCCATGCACTCGAGACATCATGAAGCGCTGTGAGTGTCCTTGGCCGGAGCAGCAGACTGTTCAGCGAGAGGCGTTGCGTGATGAGCAGAAGGCAGGCGGTATACGTCTGTCAAACCACCATCGCCGTCCATCAACCGGCTGACGTTGGATTTTTTCATAGAATCACACTCACGATGATAAAGATTTGCGAAGCGAAGACAATGCGATTGGATATCGTCCCAGCGCGGTCCAAGGAGATGGTTACCGCGTGCTCGGCGCCTCGAGCCCACACAATAACCAGGCAAATGTGGATCAGCACCAGAATCGCATGGAGGATGATCAGCAGGCTGTATAGCTTTCTGCGGTGAAACAAAGCCTTCAGAAACCTAATGGCTCTCATATGGGTCAGCGTAGGAATGGGAGAAGGGAGAGAAAATCAAAAGTTCAGGATGGGCTCGTTGTCAACGAGGTCGATACTCACGGCTCGTCGAAAGGACGCTATAAGGAGTCGGAGGTCAGGTTCAATCTGTCAAACTCTAAGGAGACATGAATCTGAGCGGTGAGCGGGTGGCGCATCAAAACATCCGATGAGCGCGTTGCCTACACAACACCATTTTTGATCCTGTAATTTCGTTTATAAATCCGGTCTAGTATCCTTAAAGTCCCATTTATGTAGAAAATGTTCCAAATGCATTGTGCATTTCAAATGCAAAAAATCACCATTTCATGGAGTGGGAAATGCATAAGGTAGCTGCTCGAAAATGATACAATTCTGAGACCCTTCTTGCACATTGGAAAGGCACAATTTGAATGGTTCATCTTTCCTAGACATTCAGCTCCTGCATGACATCAACTTCAGTGGCTCCTGGAATCTCTATAAAATGCTAAAAACTTGGCAGCACCTCTCAAGGGTGGAAAAGATACCATTCCAAATTCTGAACATGCTGAGAAAAGTCATTTCAATTTCCTGACACTTTAAAGGAAGTATCAATCCTTGTTCCAGAAAAGGTATAAAATTTAATTGGATAATCCAAGCTTCCTGATCAAGTTGGAAAAAGGCTTGAAAAAGGCTCATTTTCTGGGCATTAATGTACATCAGAATGCTTTGATTAATGTTGAAAGTGATAGGATGCTGTTTAGGGGAAAATTAAAGAAAATTCACAGATTTTGATACCCATCTTACTATAAGAATTGGCACCTCCTTTGCAATGTCAGGAAATTGAAATGACTTTTTTCAGCATGTTCCGAATTTAGAATGGTATCCTTTCCACCCTTGAGAGGTGCTGCCAAGTTTTTAGCATTTTATAGAGATTCCAGGAGCCACTGAAGTTGATGTCATGCAGGAGGTGAATGTCTAGGAAAGATGAACCATTCAACATTGTGCCTTTCCAATGTGCAAGAAGGGTCTCAGAATTGTATCATTTTCGAGCAGCTACCTTATGCATTTCACACTCCATGAAATGGTGATTTTTTGCAGTTGAAATGCACAATGCATTTGAAACATTTTCTAAATAAATGGGACTTTAAGGATACTAGACCGGATTTATAAACGAAATCACAGGATCAAAAATGGTGTTGTGTAGGCAACGCGCTCATCGGATGTTTTGATGCGCCACCCGCTCACCGCTCAGATTCATGTCTCCTTAGAGTTTGACAGATTGAACCTGACCTCCGACTCCTTATAGCGTCCTTTCGACGAGCCGTGAGTATCGACCTCGTTGACAACGAGCCCATCCTGAACTTTTGATTTTCTCTCCCTTCTCCCATTCCTACGCTGACTCATATGAGAGCCATTAGGTTTCTGAAGGCTTTGTTTCACCGCAGAAAGCTATACAGCCTGCTGATCATCCTCCATGCGATTCTGGTGCTGATCCACATTTGCCTGGTTATTGTGTGGGCTCGAGGCGCCGAGCACGCGGTAACCATCTCCTTGGACCGCGCTGGGACGATATCCAATCGCATTGTCTTCGCTTCGCAAATCTTTATCATCGTGAGTGTGATTCTATGAAAAAATCCAACGTCAGCCGGTTGATGGACGGCGATGGTGGTTTGACAGACGTATACCGCCTGCCTTCTGCTCATCACGCAACGCCTCTCGCTGAACAGTCTGCTGCTCCGGCCAAGGACACTCACAGCGCTTCATGATGTCTCGAGTGCATGGACAGGCCTCGGCGCGGGACTGTTGAGTCTCTGGAGACAACTGTCCATCCCCACAGCCGTGTTCGGAACGCTCGGGGTCGCGGTGTACCTAGGCTGTCTGTCCATCCTGCACATCAGCACGCCGGCCTTGTTTTCCATGGACGCGTTCAACCAAACGGGCGCACTACCGGTCGGCTTTATCGCGGGTATGCCCAGCGTCGGCGACCCTACGCTGTAAGTCGACGCATGTATCTGGCGGTCCCACGAATATCTCAGCGAAGACATGCACAGCCCCCTCTCGGTCGATGCGCAGAGCGTCTGGGCAGCGGCGACGAAGCTCTTGCCCTACCTTGCACTCGCGGATGACCAGTCCACGCTGGGTCTCGCCAATAATACGCTGTACGACATACTGGACCCGAACAGCGGCGGTGTAGGCGATGTCACGGTCAATGCCATCACGGCGAATGTTACATGTCACACCCTGCCAGATACCACGAGCGATGGCGTCAGCGTCGTGAATGACGATTACAACATTAGTTTAGGTTTCAATGGAAACGGCATCAGTGAATCGCATTTTCATTCAAGTGTACAATCGTGAAGACTGATTGCAGTTTGCAACGCAGCGGTCGGAGCGCTGAGGCAGTTTACATGGTACGACCAGGACGTTAATGCAACCTTGCTTCTCGTGCGTTCCTCCCCTGCCGGCGCGAGTTGAAGTTCCCTTTCAACTCGCGCTTTGATCTTTTTTAGGGCCGCAATGCCGTATTCTTAACGGCATTTAATGTCATCGACTGCAATGGAGAACTTGGGTCATATATATCTGGTGTGAAGTTTCATAGAATTTGCTCTGAAGACAATCTGTGTCTTACTGCGTCCCTTCCTAGGTGTGAACTCCTCCTGGCAAGTCATTGGATGTACACTCTCGTGGAGCCCAACGAACGTCGTCGTGGATGCCATTACAAGATATGTCGTCGGGATGGATTCCGGAGCAGCTACCATACGGTCATCCAAATGGACAGCGTGGAGGCCTGGCTTTCAAGCCTTTCCGCAGGATCGTGAGGACTTGCAGGTGGATTCCGTAGGTTCTCGTCCTTCATAGTAGGTTGATGCATTTGCTCAGTCTGTATGCGTGTGCAGTGGGCCGACATGTTAGATAGCTCGGTGAATCCCCCTGGCGCTGCGGGGATCTCCTCAGCATTTGGAGGAGCTGACATGTCAGGCATACAGACGTCAGAGTTGCGTGAGGTGACGTTCAACGATTATACTCCTGCTGATTCTGCTCCAGGTTCATCGTCAACGTGCTCAACGAGACTCTGGATGAACTGCACGATGTGACTTTGACAGAGTTTGAAGATACTCTTAGTGAGCGATGTTGGGATCGGTGCGAGGTGTGACACGCGCTGATGGCTTGTCCTCAGATCGCTTGACTACGTCTACGTTCTGGGCGGGTGTGTGGGATGGTCTTCCTGAGGCGTTTTGCTCGCTTACATCGTCACAGCGGCTCATATGCTTGCGCCAGACTCGCGAGGGGACTACTTAACACTCACCAACGGTTCTACGCAAGTGCCACAAACTGTATCCCGCCTCAATGTGAGTCTCGCTCGATCGTCGCAATCCTTTCTGTGTTGAACCGGTGTCTGGTAGTTGAATCTTACAGCAGTGAGTAGCGATATGCTTTTTATCACGCTATGCTCTCTCAGATAGCCAGGTTATCTTTGGATTGTCCGCCTCGGTTGTCCTTCTCGCGTTCGCGCTCTACCTGACATGCGGCGTTACAAAGGCAAGGCACAAAATGGACGGCATGGGCATGCTTCACGTGCTGTGGCTCGTCGCGTACCGGCCCTCAGTGCTGAACCGCATCGCCAGCGTCGGTGAGCCCACTACGGACGAACTGCGCAGAGCTGGCATGATGGACACTGTCGGCCTCAATCGCAATGTGGACGATGAGGACATGGTTGAGATGAAGTATAGCAAGGTGGCATTGCAGGAGACTGCTACTGCGTAGTTCCATGTTACTGTAGGTCGCCACCTGTAGCTGGCAAAATCATACATGGACCACGGTCACTGTAGTAAGAACTTGACACTAATCAAGTACCTTACCCACCAGGCAGATTTTAAGACATGACCCTGTGCCGGTCTTCATACATTATGAGACCGATGGTATATCATTCCGGCTAAGTGCTAAATGGTCATACAAGGATGCTGCCCATATGCACTAGATCAGGATGGGAATTGAGGATCCTCGTGCGATGTGAGTCGAACAATGTTCCTAAGCACTTTGATCGCTTGATTTATGTCATTAAGCGCACTGCTACGCTCAGAGTGCCGTGACAATGAGATTCCGAGATTGTGCAAGGAAATGAGTTTGTCCGCATCGTCGCCAGGTGTTCTTGGAATCTCACACCTCACACTACAAACACGATACAATAAAATCGCACGCAAAAGTCTGTAAAAAATCTTTGGGTAATTGGTTGAAACCGTGGAAGAATAGATGAAACCGCAGATAAATAATCAATCAGGATTTTGTTCAGACTTTTGGGTGCGATTTTATTGTATCGTGTTTGTAGTGTCAGACATGGAGCCGTTTTTCACAGTAAAATATGCATGCTAAATCTGGTTTAGTATTTTGCTTTTAGAGAACAAATTTGTTTCTGTTGCATGCAGCGGTGTATATTGCAAATTTAGCATTCAAATTGCAATGATGGCAATGTAACATTACATATTATATCCATGTTTCATGTACCAAATTGTAAATATTGGGCATAGAATGTGGCCCTGTGTCACAGTATTAGGTGGCACCTTTCTTTTTGCACCATTAAAGTCATCATTCAGCAACCACAAGTGGTTATTCAGATGCCAACCTTCATATTGGTCTCACAAAGTGGATACTTGGACAAACAGCACAATATCACCACATACATTAGGGATACGACTGTGTCTACCACATGACCACCAAGCGCCCATGATTCAGCCACCCAGTCACGTGACACTGGCCACTTGCCCAGAAAGGAACCCTTTGGACCATCAAGCTAGCAAGCACCCAATTCATCACTCAGATAAGTGACATCAACCCTATTGGCTACTCCATAGTGGCCCCATGGCGCCGCTCAATAGTGGCACCACTTTGCTGCTCAAATAGTGGCACCACCTTCAGGCAATTATCTCATTGGATTAGATAGGATTACCTCAGCGTATCTACGGCCTTTTGTCACAGCGCATCATAGATCCGTCAAAAGGCAGTGAAATGGCTGCAAGGTGCTGGCCGCGCTCAGTGACCTGCACAAAAACCAAAATAAGGACCTGCCACAAGGGGACTAGGTCAAAAAGGCATGCAGTGACATGCAGCCTACAAAAAGGGACTCAAAGGGCCCATAGCCTTATGTCACACAAAGAGGGGGTGAAGGCTTCTTAGGCCACATGAAATAGATGAATGAATCTAAGGTCTTCCCTTAGATCCTCATGTGCTTATATACATGTAGTGGTGGACCCTGGGTACCCTAACCATGGTGTACTTACTGGGGTCCTGTCCTGTCTACATGTGAACATATTGTCAAAACCAGTAATGATTCTGGACTTTTGCTATAGCAACTATCTATAAAGGCCATGGATACGTCAAGGTAATCCTACTTTACCCAATGAGATAATTGCCTGAAGATGGTGCCACTATTTGAGTAGCTGAAGTGGTGCCACTTATTGAGTGGCCAATGGGGGTTCTGCCATAGTGCATATTCTAATGCTGGTGCTACTATTTGGCAGCCATGTAGTTGGTGCTGCTATTGAGCAGCGAATTGGGTGCTCGCTAGCTTGATGGTCCAATGAGCACGGGTAAGCCTATTGTGGGCCAAAGAGTTCCATTCTGGGCAAGTGGCCTGGTGTTATGTGACCAATGCCTGATAACTTCTGAATAGGGCAAGTGGCCAGTGTCACATGACTGGTGGCTGAATCATGGGTGCTTGGTGATCATGTGGTAGACACAGTCATATCTGCGATGTATATGGTGGCATTGTGCTATTTGTCTAAGTATCCACTTTGTGAGACCAATATGAAGATTGGTGTCTAAATAACCACTTGTGGTTGCCGAATGATGACTTTATTGGTGCAAAAAGAAAGGTGCCACTTAATACTGTGACATCTTTGTAGATAGTTGCCATAGTAGCTACCAGAACCTAACCGGTTATGGTATCATGTTCACATGTAGGTGCCAGGGGTATTTACCTTAGTATAGTGACTGAGGTCCCTATCTGCATGTATATAAGCAGCCATGAGGAAGCTGGGTATCCCCAATTTCATTCATCTATTTCATGTGGCCTAAACAGCCTTCACCCCCCTTTTGTGTGATATAAGGCTAAGGGCCCTTTGAGCCCCTTTTTGCAGGCTGCATGTCACTGCATGCCTTTTGAGCCTTGCCCTTTGTGGCAGGCCCTTATTTTAGTATTTGTGCAGGTCACTGAGTGTGGCTAGCACCTTGCAGTCATTTCCTTGCCTTTTGGCAGGATCTATGATGTGCCATGACAGGTGGCTGAATCATGGGTGCTTGGTGGTCATGTGGTAGACACAGTCATATCCTCAATGTATGTGATGGTATTGTGCTGTTTGTCCAAGTATCCACTTTGTAAGACCAATATGAAGGTTGGCATCTGAATAATCACTTGTGGTTGCCGAATGATGATTTTAATGGTGCAAAAAGAAAGGTGCCACCTAATACTGTGACACCACTTAGTCATGTGACACTGGCCACTTGCCCTATCTGGAAGTTATCAGGTGTTGATCACTTGGGTGGAGTTGGCGCGTCAGCACCAGTTCTAAATAACATGTGGGAGACCATATGTTCAATTACATAGAATGAAGCTGTAAGTAAGTGACAATCAGAGGCGGATGTGTGTATAACTAGCTAATCTGAATTATGTTGTGGTATATAAAGACTGCCATGCGATCTTGCATGCCGGCGAAGACAACAGGTCCCTGTAGCATGACAGCACAATCATCACAACACTGTGCATCGTCCATATGCCATGACACGGCGATGTCTCTCAGTGAGCGTGTGCTAGTGTCATCGAACATGAGCTTTAAGCATCTCGTTATTGCAGAAGTATCGTTGGCATCATGGGCAGCTCCATCGACAACTAGCTAAAGAGAATCTTCCGAGCAGCCATCCAGCGATGGATGATTCAGCAGAAGTCACACCAATGTGGTGAAGCCCATCACAAGGAAAGTCGAAGACAGACAGTGTAGGGGGACATGACAATGAACATCGATGAGCTTTCCATGCACTACACACGACATTGTGTACACGTGATAACTCCTGAAGTGCACAAAAAGGAAGACGAGTGACCAGAAAAGATAATAGAACATCGACAGCAACAGAACGAATTTGTTCATCCCAACCGGACGTCAAACTGGTCCTTTTGACCTTGCACCAATACAAAGCACCAGAATGCAGAGCAAGCATCGAACAAAATCCTAACACAATGGCAAAAGCCTCCAGCTCCTCGGCTGATACAAAGACTGACTGACGAGAAGCGCTGCTGACGGCTGAAATGAATAAAGTCGAGCAGTGCGAACGTGCACCGACAGTATCAATAACGTTAGTGATCGCATCAGGAAAAAATGAAATGAAAGCATTGAAAAGCAATGACAGCAGATCCACTGCAGCAACGTCATCAATGACCCATCAGAGGAGATGCAGGAAACATTGCTCACCTCCACCAACAAAATTGTCTAGCAATGTGCATGACAGCAAAAGCGCGACAACGAGCTCAGCGATTTGTGTGAACATCAGATGAGGCAGCATAGAGCGTTGAAGTGGTTACACAGTGAAGATGAGAACAGTAGGGGGGGCTAGGGGAGAGTCCATATCTCCTATGTTCAAGGAGAGCACATCCATGCTGGGTTATGTAATGAAAAATCACGCCAAACCCAATGGATCGAATTTGCTAGTGTCAAGGTTATGTAAGCATGCACAATTCCTCAGTATCAATGGCCAAATAACTTTCTGTTATTTAGAATGTGACACCAGGCCACTTGCTCAGAATGGAACTCTTTGGTCCATAGTAGGCTTACCCATGCTCATTAAACCATCAAGCTAGCAAGCACCCAATTTGCTGCCAAATAGTAGCACCAGCATTAGAATATGTGCCATGGCAGAACCCCCATTGGACACTCAATAAGTGGCACCACTTCAGCCACTCACATAGTGGCACCACTTTCCAGCAATTATCTCATTGGATGGACCACAGCCATTTCTAGATAGTTGTCATGGCGAAGTCCAGAACCATTACTGGTTCTGGCAATATGTTCACATATAGGTGTCTGAGGTCTCACAGTAGCACAGTGCCAGGGTCCTGCCCTACATGTATATAAGTACCTATGAGGAAGCTGGGTATCCCCAGTTTCATTCATCTATTTCATGCAGCTTTACAAGCCATCACCTCCTCTTTGTGTGATATAAGGCTAAGGGCCCTTTGAGTCCCTTTTTGCAGGCTGCATGTCACTGCATGCCCTTTTGACCTAACCATTTATGGCAGGCCCTTATCTTAGTATTTGTGCAGGTCACTGAGCACGGCTAGCACCTTGCAGCCATTTTCTTGCCTTTTGGCAGGATCTATGATGCACTGTGACACCCTGCTCCAAATGTGTATCTATACGCTGCTATCTACAGGGTGAGAGACTGCTTTGTGATGAATATGCTATGCTGCATTATCTCATGCACTTTATTTTAAATTCATGCTGAAGATGTGAATAAAATATATGATGCCAATTTGTCACTATAGCAAGTCAAGTGCCAAACTTGGAATATACTATGTCAAATGCAATACATGCAAATACATGTTGTAAAGAGAAAATACCAAACCAGATATAGCATGCATATGTAACTATAAAAAATGGTTCCATGTCTGGGGTATCATGGTCTAAGCATAGCGAAGATGAGTCCAGTGTTCAGGGACCTTGATAGAGTTATTTAGATGTAGTCAAACTACCAAGGTATGTACAACTCGAGGTCTGCTATTTATTAATAAGTGTCACCCTCAGATCCTGTTATACGACATCCACTGGTTGCTAGGGCACATTGCTATGATCGTCTGACCCAGCCACTTTTTCTCGCTTTTGACAAGAGCATACCTGAGTGCCATGCACACTCTCCTTCCAACATGCCCCCTCGATCGCCATTGTCAAGCCATCAGAATAGGTGAATGTGGCTGTCAGTATATGCCACCTTGGCCTTCACATCCTCCTCATCATCCTTGCCATCATCTGACTTAGTCGGGCAGTCTTTCTGTACATGCTCTATTTCTCCGCACTTGAAGCACTTATGCTTCTCACCCCCTGCAGCTGCCTTCCACTTCCCTTTTCCAGCCTTAGCCATCATGGCCACCACATCTCGGTCATCCTCTGCATCCTTCTGGTGGGTCTTTTTATTTAGAAGTCTTATTGTAACACTTCTGACTGTGAGCTGTTCAGGTGAGATTGAGTCGAGCATGACTACGAGCTGGTCATAGTGTCCTCCAAGGCCCATGGTGAGTTCTAACACCATGTCCTCTTCTTCTACTTTTACCCTGGTGTATTCCAGATCTGTGGCCATTTTCTTCATCCACCCGATCCATGCTGACATCACCTCATTGGGGCCCTTTACTGCCCTGTAGAAGTGTCACCACATCATCAGTCAGGTTGCAAATCTGTATGCTCAGTGCACCTGCATCAGAGTCGCCCAGCACTCCATAGGGTCGTGACTCACCAGATGCATCAGCTGCCCTGCCGATACCCACAGCATCATTTCCGCTCACGCTTTTGCCATCTCGGTTGTCAAGTGCTTGGCCTTTTCCACCTCCAGCCACACTGCTGCCTCTATCTCTGTCGCATCTGTCAGTGGTGATGTTTCAACCATCATTGCCTTCCACAGCCCTTCCTGATCAACTCTGCTTCCATCTGGATTGCCCACTTACCATAGCTGTCCTCACTCAAGAGAGGGAACTTTGTGGTCTCAGTTGTTTCAGACATGTTAGGTTGATGCCAGTTGCACAGGGAGTAATGCGAGCAGACATAGCAGAGGCCAAAGAATAGTCAGGTATGGGGGTAGTTTGTCTTGGAATCTCATGGTCTAAGCACAGCGAAGACAAGTCCAGTGTTCAGGGACCTCGATAGAGTTGTTTAGATGTAGTCAAACTACCAAGGTATGTACAACTTGAGGTCTGCTATTTATTAATAAGTGCCACCCTCAGATCCTGTCATACGATACCCACCGGTTGCTAGGGCATGTCGCTATGATCGTCCGACCAGCCACTTCTCCCTGCTTTTGACAAGAGCGTACCTGAGTGCCGCATGCACCACAGCTTGATCAGCCATCTCAATAGCTTTGTTAATATATGATATATCTCTAAATTGCTCAAAGGTCCTGAAATAAGATACACTGCAGTTGCTTAAATGCATGGATTTTGACATGTCATCATCTGGTGTGAGCTGAATGCATCACTCTAATGCCTTTGCCACTCTTCTGATATCGATGGAGTCATCAGAATGCTCAAAACAAAGGAGCAATGAAGTTCCAAGATAGCCTAAATGCAGTGCGTTGTCCAGAATAAGTCGTACAGCATCTTCAAATTGCATGTACAGCCGTTCGATGTCATCGAGATTGCCAAGCTGCTCAAAGCATTGAGCAAGTGCCATTGCAAGATTGCACAAATATGTAGGCCTTATTAAATCCACATCTAAAGACCATTGAACAGCATCTGCATAGATTTGGATCATACAATCAAGGTCATCCTTATCATGTAATGCTTCATAGGCATTTACATTGATGTCGCCCAATTTGTTGAGGTATTGCGATATGAAATTTTCTGCATTGACTGCTGACAGATGCTTAATCCCATTGTAAAGAAGTGAAAAAAAGTGACGGTCGACTTTCCCACATTGCTTCAAGTCATTTTGTACAAATTGCAGCCATTTATGCATTCCAGCTTCACCAAGTACAATCACTGATTGTGTATCTCAGTTGAAGCATAATCTGCACTCAGAAAGGATAGCAATCATACCCAACTCTCTTCATTGGTGATTGTATGTAGCAGCGCTGACAAGCACTGAACGGTGCAGATCAGAAGACACTGATACTCCAAATGCAATCTCAAAGGATGGAAGTGTATGGTTGTTCATGTCGATGGGCCAGAATGTAATTTCTGATGTGGCAACTTCAGCTGTAGGAATGAGATGAAGTACGTGATAGTCCACACTTACCTTGTTGATGTCGCAACAAATGCGTGAGAACTTCTGTCACACTGATGGACACAGAAGACAGCTGATCCTCTATATGTGCTGCATTTCCTCAGAATACAGCAATTGAAAAAGATGATGCATCAGAATGCCTGAAAATTTAAGCTACATAAGAATAGCATATGCAGGAGATAATTCATGTGACATACAATCTCATAACACCCTCTAATGTTTATAACGGTGAATTTTTGTAGTCCTTCTTTATCAGTCCCATCTCTCCAATGACTGTTCCATTGATTACGATCTGGACAAGCAGTTGAGCATTATCAAAGACCTCATAGTGTTCATTGAACAATAGCTTGATGGTGAACTCTGGATGTCAACTTCAATGTGGAATCCAGAACAATACATTATGACTGCAGACCTCTGAGGCAAAGATCAGGCCTGCTGATGATATGAGTCATATGCTCTCGATGTGGTTCCATGAAGCTTACATCATGCATGGGACATATGCTGACAGTAAGGCAATCGAGAATGTTTCTTCATCAAGGATGATCAAATAAATTGAGGGCTGATTTTGCACAAAGGAAGACCCACAGTCTGTAGTGCAATGTCGTTATGAATGTCAAGATGTCCCACGACAGTGCAATGATTGATCTTCAAAGGATATCTCATGTCTTCAAAGCCACAGTCAGAGTTACAGAGGATTGTAGTAGGAGTTTGAGCGAGGGACAGGAAAATCTGCTGGAGTTAGTACATATGAAAGATTTTGATGCACAAAGCTTACCTGACAGTTTCGAAAAGGACATGAGGTTTTGTCCACCTTCATAGGAGACCAAGCATGCATATATAGATATGTTCTAGGCTGCCATATCAGTCATTCAAAGGCTTATCGCTGACATGCATTATCAGTCACTCCACAGGCTGCTTCGCTGATAGCAGCAGATATAAGTCCATACTCATTTAAACTTGTGCTAGTTTGTGCACGAAATCCATGCAAGTGTTGTCTTTGAAGCTTAGCATTCTAATGATCATGAACCATGCATGGTCAGCACATTGTGAGGTGACCAGTGCAACTGCCCTCACTATGAATTGACTCCCCAAATGTATGGCAGCAAGGTCAGGATGGGACAAGTACATTCGATTGAGTTTTGGGTGAAACAGGTACATCAGGACAGGAGTATGGATGGTCTACACGAACGATGTACTATGAGCCTCAACATGCAACCTCAAAACTGACTGTTATCTCCAGCAAAGTCCTCCGAGCACAACGTACAGTCCAGATCATTGTCCCATAACTCGAGAGCAGGGGCATGGATGGTGAGCGAAGGTTGCCTGATATGGGACAAAGCAGGTATTACTGCTCCAGATGGGGGGCATTGGGACAGAACATGTTATTTAGCAACTGAGGAGGCAATGACAAAAGCTGATCCAAGAGGGCTGATACTGACTGTTGATCATGTGACAAGGGTGAAGCAGTGAGGGTGTGGAGGTCACTGACCCACCCAAAGGAATCGGTCAGAGGCACCTGCATTCTGGACTGTGCCAACTTCAAGCAGGCAGCATTAGCAAGTTCCTGGATGGAGGAGTCAACATGAATACATGAGAAGAAAAGGAGTGGAACATGTACTAGGAGGGATTGGAATCTCCAGTGCCACTCATTCCACTCAACCATAGCAGGACACGATCCGGTCAGGACATGTACCCACTCAATGGTCAGAGCTTTGAGGAAAAGAAGGAACAGATGGATCTGCAAGATATAGGCTGATCCAGGTTCATCAAGAGTGGTGTTCGATGTGTGTGACATGGTGGACGGCGAGATCAGTGAGAGGTTGCAAGTACTGAGAAAATGGGAGGATGGGCAGTTGGGTTGGTGGACGTGTCTGAGGACCGTGACTGTGGACTAGACAAGGAACTGATGGGAGACCACATCTAAGATGAAGCAAGGAGAACCTGGCACATGGGCATGGACCAAAAACCAGCTAAAACTGTTGAGCAGCATGGGTGAAGTGTCCAAAGAGCAGACAGGGTACCTTCAGAATGGGAACAAGGGGGTTTCTGTGATACAGAATGACCACTGGGGCAGGCTTCCAGGAACTGCAATGAGCAGAGTGCAACACAGGTGAGTAGAAGCCAAGAAATTCAGAACGAGATGTGATGGGGTGGTCTGCAGCGGCAGGCCCTCCAAGGGATTCAGAACGAGATGAGTGAGGCAAGGTAATGAGTTACAGGCCCAAGCATGGTCAAATGGGCAATTGAGTCTCAGGCAAACATGCCCCAAAAACACAGTATAAAAGGGTAGTGTAGTTAGGAGGTTTGAGGACGACCTCGGATGGCATATCTATGAGCTAGAGTATGTGAACAGACTTGTGCAGCAGTGCACAGAGACAGCAGTCTCCCTCTCCTCCACAATCTACTGCTTCTACTTCACAAACTAATCAGAATCTTTGCTCTCACTGTCGAACACGCTTGACCGACCACTAGAACATTGCCACTGAGACGGTACGGCCACCTCCTGAGATTCCTGTACTCTGTCCGGAAGTCATTAGACTTGCTTTGGAACCATTCTATCATGTGTATCTCATGCACATCACCCCAGCCCATACACTCTATGTGGTTGCAGGCCTATTGGCTGCCTTGTTGATCCATTTTTTCACCATCTTTTACATTTGGCCCTTGCATCACCTCTAGGCGCAGACCTTCCCTGCACTGTTCCCCCTTCATCCCACTCAGTTGTTTGCTGTCCTTTCACAGCTAGCCAAGTACTTGCAATCACAATGCACTAGATTGTATGTCTTGAGTACATCTAGTGATGATATGCAAAACAGGAGTCTTATCGAGCCATCAGTGAACAAATGTCAATAAAAGCATACAGTATGATGCACCTCATATCTTAGCATTGTGCTAAGCACTGAGTCGATGAGCATTCTGTGAATTTTGTGTGATGCTCTGACAGTCCTGTATGCATAAAGCACGAAGCACAAACAGAAAAAAGCGACATATAACAGCATCAGAATCAAGTATCCCGACACATAACTGCATGTAGCAAATAAGCCCATAACTATTGACAAGAGACATGTGAGTCACTCACTCAAGTATCCTAACTTCTGATGCAGGATGCTCCTCATACTGACGAGCCCAGTAGTCAAGGAACCAGATTTGAAAAGTTTTGAGCACCTGAGAAATACCCAAACCTAACAGGCATGCTGACCAAAAGGTGATGGGATGGGCACCTCTGAGGCTGGAGAGGTACAGCCATACTGAGGTAAACAAGTAAGCAACAGAAGATAATTAGACTCAAGCAATGTGATACTCATGTGAAGGCCAACTGACTTGACCAACAGCGATCTCTTCCACCACAACGAGTTTGTCATCTTTGCTGAAGCATTCTTTGGCTCTTCGTTCTTCTGCTCCACCATTTTCAGCTCTTCAGCCTCATGCTCTACCTTGTCGGTGTGTTGCTCATTATGCTCAAGTGCATTGGCCAGGGATCCCTGGCTCAATATCCTCCCATCAACACCAATAGGCACAATGAAATGTGCAACTGGGCTAACCAAGGTCACATTATGTGTCTAAATGCAGGCTAATTTCAACATGGAATAGCATCAAGTTGAATGTTACTCATGACAAGCAGTACTGTCCGACTGCTGATCAAGTCTCCTCTTAAGCATTTCTCCACGATCCAGTGATTGGTGTGCATGTCAAGAGCAGCCAGGACCTACATGACATTAGCTTAAGCTTTTATGATCCATTTCGAGAGCTCACATCATCAAGGAGGAGTATCTTTGTGCTGAAGTACACAGCTCATGCGAAAGTAATGTGTGCCTGCAGATAGTTAATATCAAGTGCACAGGAGGTTCAGATTATGCATGAGACCTTTTGCCTACCACTAGCAATGATCTCATTAACATGACATTCTCACAGTTTTCATCTAGACTCACCTCAATGTGATACCCTTCTCACCAACTTCAGTTGCATTGCCTGATTTGAAGAGGTCAAGATCACACTTTAGCACACACTAATAAATGACTAACAATCCATTAGTGGGGATTCCACCCACTATGTACTGCATACCTCTGTTGTATCGTTCTTCATTGTATGGCATGCCAAACACAATGTTGTTCTGGGAATATGCTAAACAGTTATCACCATAGCGATTACCACAAGTTAAATGCTCACACAAATAGTCTCATTCTGCACCCAGGATTCTTGAGCAGCATATGCCACACCTCCATCATGTGGCAGCTGTATGTAAGAGTCCAGTCCAGCAGGGATGTAATGCATTTCACCTGTGAAAACTCAATCAAGTGTACGCCATCTATAATGTCCTCAGATCACATATCCAAGAGTGCCATCAGCAGTGAGGTCTTCCCTGATCTGGTGGGACCTATGATGAGATTGATACATTCATTCTTGAATGGCATCTCTTCATCGATACAGAGTGTGAATTTGCGTCTAGAAGTTTCTGGTGTCATAGGACCAACTTGCTCATTCAATCAGGTAAAAGCTGTGTTACGTATCCTGATTATGTTCTCCTTGACCACAGGTGGCACTATCATTACTGGTCTTTCAGTGTCATGTGATGACTCTAAGAACTCGTCGAGGAGCTCAGCCTGACCAATTATAGCTGAGACTGCCCATCGATTTCAGCTTGCAGAAGGATGTACCTCATACAAAAAGTCATTGAGATGATCCAAGGACACCTTTGCTATGACTTAATGTTAGATCTCAACCAATTTCCATGGTTGAAAATAAAATCTGATCACCTCGCATTATAGCTGGAAGCATGCCAAACGTATGCATTTACATACTAAATAAGCTGAACACTAGCATCCGTGGCATCAGCATCAGCTATTGGTTAAAGAGCATAGCAAGTGAGGCTCACGAACAATCGACGAAAACATCATAGATGCTGAAAGAGCTGTTAGATAGACATTGGTCAGTCATGAATGAAATAAAATACCCATAAGCTCTTGCTTCATGATCAATGTTTGAGGTAGTCATTGACATCTTATAGATACTGTAATCAATGGATACTTACATAGGTGGAATATGTAACAAGCATTATGAGCAGAGGTATGACTTAACTGAGCACAACATGTGTCAAGACAAGCACAGAACTCAGGAGCAGACATGACACACTTCAAATTCTCATTCAAAAGGTCCAATAGCTTGCCTTTCTTAATGAATGACAACTCTTCCTCGTGCTTCTCAGTCATCTTTTGGGAGAGTAAGGATTCCCAACTGAACAGCTTGATCATACATATGCTGTATGTACCGTCAATGCATCAGTCAGCACAGTATGAAGAGAAGAGCAGTTATCAATGCACTTTTCATGATGGTTTGAACGTGCATATCAGTCTAACCATGCCGCTATTTATATGAAAACCAGAAATGAAGGAGATATCACAATATACTCTTTTCATCTTCTCCATCTGATTCTTGTGAATCAAAGTTGTGATGAAACCTGGAATGGGCATAAGCACAACAATGACTGCCATATTACAGAAGGCACTAGCAATGGCACACTGAGATTAGCGACACTGGATTTTGAGGCTCTGAGCAGAACTTACCTCCATTTAAGAAGCCTATAAAAAAAGATCATGCATAAAACTGTCTGGAAAGGTATCTGTAAGACTGACAGGGTTTGGGTTCAGTGTGAGCAGTGAAATTGTCACAGTATTAGGTGGCACCTTTCTTTTTGCACCAAACATCTGTAATGCATCATCCATCTGAGCACAACAAACCTATCTTTGCCAGAATTCTCCTGTGCAAACATTATTTAGCCACTTGCCATATCTGACAATTATCATTGGTTGGTCACGTGACACAGGCCACTTGCCCTATTTGAAAGTTGTCAGTTGTTGGTCACATGACACCAGGCCACTTGCCCAGAATGGAACTCTTTGACTTACAGTAGGCTTATCGAAGCTCATTGGACCATCAAGCTAGCAAGCACCTAATTCACCACTCAGATAGTGGCACCACTTTGCTGCCCAGTCAATAAGCAGGCACTACAAGAGATTTCTCTACCAACCGGCATACAGTATAGCCAGATACAGGATAGGCTGGATCTTCCCACAACTTATCCAAATGAAGACTGATCATCTCACCCATTGTTCTGAGTATGAACAGATCCTCTCACCTGAAGTCACAACTGTTGTGATGTGCCCTGTTGGCCATCACCCATTGGTCCCTCAACAGTGGGCCCACTTACAGGCAATTATCCCATTGGATGAGATAGGATTACCTTGGCATAACTGCGGCCTTTGTAGATAGTTGCCATAGTTGCTGCCAGAGCCCTTACTGGTTCTGGCATGATGTTCCCACATGTAGCTTGCTAGAACCCCAATAGGTACAGTCTTCAATCGGTCCTTTATACACTACCAGTCCTTTATACAGAAGCACTTTCCTCATTCATTTCCAGGTCAAATTGCTCAGTAAAAATATATTATGTAGCTACTGGTTAGAGGATTCATGGTTCATAAGACAAGATGCAGGTGGTATGCCTGTTCTTTTGCAATATAGCATTTTTTTCTGTTCAAGAATTTTTTATAAAATTTTATTTTGGCTCTTGTCACAGTTTTTACCTGACAAGTTATTATAGGAACAAATGCTATTAGAAGCATATTATTTTCATCATTTCACGTCGCACAAAGGATCACGTGACCTAATGAGATAAGATAACGAGGCATCTAGTCACATGACCTCAGATCTTTCTCAGCATAGTCACGTGACACTGAGCTCCTCGACATGGCGTCATATGTTGCAATCACCATAACGCCATATTGCGTGCTCAAGAGGAGCTCCGTCTCCGTGGGTTATTATTAGGCAACCAATCAGGATAATTGGGACACATCGTACAATTGTAGCACCGTCCAGTAGAATAGTGTGTGACTTGCTTATGTAGTACTGTACAGTAGCTAGACAATCATGTATATAAGGACCAGTGAGACGAGGAGGAGACCTCAGTCTTATTCTCCTTCGTTCACCACTACCATCACAGAGGGGTCTTACCAGACACTCTCAGTGTGCTATACATTTAGTTACATCCTCACCATTATGATAGCGCCCTCACCTCACCAGTAAGTCTTAATCTGTGACTAGCAACTAGGCCTCATCAGTGGGCACGTCGATCCACCACAGCTCATCGCTGTTGGCTCTTACCAGAGACCCTCAAGGGGACTCTTGTTTTGGTTGTCTATCTTTGTCATCAGTGTGCTGTGACATTAGAATAAGACTGACCTTTTACGCCCCTACCAAGTGTCTAACACTGGTAGCTGCACATTTTTGCCCAGAAACACTTCCGTCCAGGGCAGGGCTTTTTCCACACCACTTCCTTCATACCATTTCACTTTGCCTCTATCGCCTAAGCCGCTTCCTTCCTTCAAAAGGAACAGCGCTGCACTGACTGGTAAAGCGCCTCAAGTGCACAACGGTATCATTCTGCCCAACAGACGTTACCACCCTTACCAACCTCATCCCAACTGCACTCGTTGTCTAACGGTGAGCAACCTACTCCACGCCAAGCCCAATGACTACTGCTCAGAACTACGGAAGCTGCGCACAAAGGTCAGCTCGTGGGCCGAAGCAATTTCTAGAGATGCATCTGACCCATCTGTCCCTATCTACAAACCCCACTGGTGGTCCAACGACAACGCTACCACTGTCCTCACCTTCGCACTCTCCCAGCATTATCACCCTCTCAGGATAAACGAGAATCCCAAAAGCACACTTCCAGACAACATTGCGCCCACTGTATATGCTACCATTCAGCGGTACAAGGTCCTACAGCAGCCGCACATCGCTGCCAAGTTCACGGAAGCACAGATCCAGTGTCACGATCGCATTCTGCGACACCTAGGAGCATTAAATGAGAGGATTGGGAGAGGCGATGACTTCACGTTCGTCGATAGACACATCGCTATCAAGCTTTGTGTAGGACTAGGAAAGATCTCGTTCAGAGGAATCAACAAGGAGCAGGAGCACGTAGGAAGAGACATTGTAAGGTTCGAGAAGGAGTCGTGCTACTGGCCCTATTAGGACCAGTAATATTTTTGTACTATCGCATCCACAAGTTTCATGCCGAGACACACAATCAGCTTTATATACGAGAACTACATTGTGGACTTCTATCGCCCGGTGCAGAGACAACTCACAGTCATCTGCACTGCGTATTTCATTTATCAACCTCTCATCATCAATTGGCAACAAGTACTCTACCACTACACGGTATGAGTACACGCCTATACTACCTACTCGGCACCCTTCCGTCTCATTCCTGTTCATGAGGAAGAGCGAGAATACTGGCACAACTGAGCAGAAACTCTACGAGAGAAACTAGCAGAAGAGGGACTCATCGAAGAAGATTCCGAAATTCCCTTCTGAACATTACCACAAGGCCGAGACCAAGAAGCGATCGACTCACATATTGTCTGTCACATTATTTCCACTATCTTCCATGTCGATCCGAATGTCTCAATACAACCTTGGCGGTGTTGCGTTCTCAGGAGGACACACTGTGAGTGAGCCTAGCGACCCCTGAAGGAGTTAGGCCACCTCCACATCATCAGAAGCAGGACCTGCTGCCCCTGCAGAAGAACCACATAACAGCAGCACACCCAAGGTGTCAGGAGTAGTCAGAAATCTGTCGCCCACCACCCTGCCAGAATTCACCACACCTGCAACCTGGGAATGGCAGGGGATCTCTTATAATACAATCGAGGAAGCCGCCAATGCTGCCACGCCCAACACCATTCCAAACGACATCAAGGAATGGGTAATGAATGTGGTGCAAGTGTTCATTATGAGGGACATCATAAGTTCCTATGAAGCACTGCATCAAAAGATGGATGAACATCACGAGCGCACGGTGGCCTCATTGGAAGAAGAGATACTGGCTCGTATTCATGTCAAAATCATGGCAATAGAAATACGAGACCAGTTAAAAGTTGCAAGAGCCCAGATCGGCACCCTCTCCACCACTAACGAACGGCTCATCAAGTCGAACAACAGTCTGACGGCTGAAGCCCAAGCAATCTGCAAGGACTTTGAGGATTATAAGGATGAAGTAAAGGGCCAGATGGACACCCTTTATGGCAACATGGTCACCCTGAAGGAGGCTCAGGAGAAGACTACGACCTATATCATTGGCTTAGAGTCCTGACTCAACAATGCCATCATTAATGCACCTTCCCAAGGTATCCAACAACCGGCCAGCCTATCTAGTCAATCGCCCCACTGAATTAAGCTTCTCGATCCTCCCAAGTACTCAGGAAGAAAGTCGTCAGAAAACTTCGAGACCTGGTTCACGAACCTTCTCATATGGCTCGATTACAATCACTTCACAGATGACAAGGACAAAATTCAGCAGGCCAACGCACATCTGAAAGGAGGAGCAGCTCTGTATATGAAAGAGTATGCAATCAAGCTCGCCTCTGGACAGGACATTGGCACATGGGCAGAATATACCAGGAAACTGGAAATGGCATATAAGATGCTTGACCCCAAGCACACAGCACAAGCAATGCTGAATGCGCACTGCGCCACTCGCCACAAGACGATGATTGCCTTTGCAGAGAATTTCAGGGCTTACGCCCTCAAATCAGGATACTCTGATGAGAATTTGATCGTCAAGATCAGGGAACAACGGTCGACCCATATCCAAACGGTCATGTCAGTAACAGAGACTCTAGATCCCTCGAAGATTCCAACCACTTGGATGGACTATCTCGGCTTCTGCCTGGAGATCGAAATCAAACATCTTCAGCAAGTTTCAGGCAACAAGTCTACTGGACAGACCACAGCAACAAAGGCGGCCACCCCCAAGGACCCTAATGCAATGGATACCAGTGCACGAATCACACATGAACTTTTCCCGGAACAGGACAGGTGGCTGGCAAACAAAGTATGTTTGTTTTGCGGAAAGCATGCCTATGAACGAGGAAAGCGGTGCCCCTCTCCCAAGCCAGAATACAAGGGCAAGCGGTTTCAAACACAATCTGCCCCGAAACAAGAAAAGGGAAAGGAAAAAGCGACAAAGGTGCGACAGGTGGAAGAAGAAAGTAGCGTGGAATCATCAGTGCAAATTGCAGCATTGGAACAAGCAATTGCTGCACTTTGCAGGATGAGCACCACCTCAACTACTCCACCATCCAGTAAAGGCAAGGGCAAGGCGAAGAGCACAAACATGGCATCAACGGCATTAGCATCTATGGTCAAGAACATCAATGCGAGAATCACCGAGTTGGATGAATTCTCAGAGGATTTTCTGTACGAAGTGTAGACGAGTCTGGCACTACACTTCAGGACAATTGTATTAGTACCGTGAGAACGAATGTACCTAGCGACCATCTATATATTGCATCCATGGGTTTTTCTAAACATTCGATCAAATTGCCAATAAAATTCGTATCACGGGAAGTCCAGACAATGGCACTATTGGATTCTGGAGCATTCTCTTGTTATATCGATCAGAGATTCGTTGAAAAGCATGGGTTTAAGATGATACCACTAAACCATGAAATCAGAATCCTCAATGCAGATGCCAGCCCCAACAAGGGTGGTGCAATTACTCATCATGTAGTCACAAGCATCTTAATCGGGGGGCACCGATCAACTGAGAGTTTGCTCGTCACAAACCTTGGATGCATGTCAATGATCCTTGGCATGAAATTCTTACAAGAACATAACCCCCAAGTTGACTGGGAACATAGAGAGGTCATGTTCTCAAGATGCAGACACACGAGGAAGCAACAAGTCAGAGTAAGTGAAGAAGAAGTCAACCTTCTATCACAACCTCGACTTGAAGATGAAGCAATTCTCCCCGACGTACACCAGGATGACGGATGGGATCAGAAAGACAACTTCATCAACTGGATAGACTTGCAAGACCAGGATCTTCGTAACATGGTGCACGACATTCTAGGCATAAGCAAGAAGGTAAAGGAGCATTTGGTAGAACAGCCGGCAGAAGAGACACAGGATAAAGAATATTGGTCCACATTCGTCCCTCCAGAATTTCATCAATTTGGAAATGTGTTCTCGAAGAAGAGCTTGGAAAGAATGCCGACATGTAAGCCCTACGATCACGCAATTGATCTTGTCCCAGACGTGGCAACTCCGAGACTGGCAAAAGTATATCCTATGTCCTTACGAGAGAAGAACTTGCTTGACGAATGGATTGACAGCGAACTAGCCAAAGGCTACATTTGACCCTCGAAATTCCCTTACGCCGCTCCGGTATTTTTCGTCAAGAAGAAGGATGGCTCTCTTAGACTAGTCCAAGACTATAGGGCATTAAACAGCATCACCAAGAAGAACAAGTTCCCACTCCCCCAAATCAATGATCTCATTGACGGACTCTCAAGGGCTAGTATATTTACTACACTAGACCTGAGATGGGGGTACAACAATGTACGCCTTCACAAGGGAGATGAGGAAAAAGCAGCATTCATCACCCATAGAGGATTATTTGAACCCACTGTAATGTACTTCGGATTCTGTAATGCCCCTAGCACTTTCCAGGCCATGATGAATGATGTCTTAGGCAATCTCATTCACACTGGAAAGGTGGCAGTCTACATAGATGACATCATCATCTTTACGGACAACCAGGAAGAACACAACCGTCTCACCAAAGAAGTCCTACAATGACTCAGAGACAATGACCTATTCGTGAACCAGAAAAGTGTCACTTTGCGACTACTTTTGTCAAGTTTCTCAGACTCATAATCTCAAAAGGGTCGATACAGATGGACTCAGAAAAGGTTGACGGTGTGCTCAAATGGCCCATGCCCAACAAAATGAAGCAAGTACAAGCATTCCTTGGTTTGGCAAATTTTTATCGACGATTCATCAAGGATTTCGGAATGATGACCCGACCCTTGACTCTATTAACTCATAAGGACGCAACATGGAAATGGGAAGAACCTCAACAAAAGGCATTCAAGGCCCTCAAAACTGCATTCACTTCCGCCCCAATTTTAGCACTCCCTAACGCAATCCGTCCCTTTAGACTAGAGACAGATGCCTCGGACTTTGCCACAGATGCGATCCTTGAACAGTTGGGAGAAGATGAACTCTGGCATCCTGTCGCTTACTACTCCAAGTCACTCAATGAACACGAGCGAAACTATGAGATCTATAACAAGGAAATGCTAGCCATCATTCGGGCTCTGGAAGAATATAGGCAGTACTTTGAAGGACACCCTCACCCGGTTGAGATATGGTCAGATCACCTTAATCTTACCTATTTCTGACAAGCTCAGACATTGACCAGATGACAAGCGCGCTGGTCACTTTACCTTACTAGATTTAATTTCATTCTCTGTCACCGCCCCAGAAAGATGATGATGTGTGCCGATCCTCTGTCCAGGAGGCCAGATCATGAGAAGGGGGTGAGCAATGATAATTCAGGACAAACTTTGCTTCGGCCCGAATATTTTGCCATCCATGCGATCTCAGCCACTCATCCCTCCGAAGTTGATGATGCAAAACTTCTAGAAAGAGTGAAATTGGCACTACAAGATGACGAAATGACCAAAGGTTACCAGCACCTACTAAAAACTGGTAAGCGAGAGTTCAGAAAAGACCTCCAAGAGTGGAACTTCGAGCATGGATTGCTGCTCTGAAGAGGAAAGGTCTATGTTCCAAAAAAACTCTACGCTGCAGAATGAGCTGATCAAGCTGCATCACGATATCTCCACGGCCGGACATTCCAGATGATGGAAGATGCAAGAGCTGATTAGCAGGAATTACTGGTGGCCAGGGCTCACCATTGATGTAAAGAAGTACGTCCAAGGCTGCGTAACTTGTCAGAGAAACAAGATGAGCAAGCAGAAGCCTTACGGACTGTTACAATCTAATCCAGTACCAGAAGGGCCTTGGGAAATGGTTACATGTGACCTGATTATGCAGTTACCATCAAGCCCAGACCACAGGGGAGAAAAGAAGACTGCCATCCTGGTGGTCATCGATAGGTTCAACAAACATGCCCACTTCTACCCAGTAGATGACACGGTGACAGCATCTCAAGTAGCATCAATGTTCTACAATGAAGTATTCAAACTCCACGGAATTCCCCGGCAAATCATATCTGATCGAGGCACACAGTTCTCAGCCAAGCTATTCCAGGAGTTCTGCCAGAAACTTCACATCAAATCTACGATGTCTACAGCTTATCACCCTGAAACAGATGGACAGACTGAACAAGTCAATCAAATTCTGAAGCAATATCTGTGCATGTATTGCAACTACTGACAAACTGATTGGGCCACACTATTGCCCACAGCAGAATTTGCATACAACAATCAAGCTTCAGAATCGACAGGCCTGTCCCCATTTTTCATTGAGCATGGTCGACACCCCCGCATGGCACCAGACATACTGGAAAGGATACAACATCCATCCCTGGAACACTTATTTCACAACCACAACCAAGCACAGGAACAAGCACGTGCCACTCTGTCATTAGCAGCGAAAAGAATGAAATGGTATTTCGATCTCAAAAAGCAGGACATTCCTTTCAAAGAAGGAGACGAAGTGCTCATTCGAGGAAAAGATCTCCATGTAAAGGTCAAAAGTCAGAAACTTGCAACTCAGAACTATGGACCATTCAAAATCCTCGAAAAAATCAGAACCGTATCATTCAAACTGCAATTACCAGCAGACATGAAGCTACATCCGGTGTTTCACACTTTCAAGCTTATAATGTTCCATGAAGACTCTATCCCTGGATGTGTACCTCCCCCTAACCCCCAGTCATCATAGACGGAGAGGAAGAATGGGACGTGGAGGACATCCTGGATTCTAGAGTCAGGTACAACAAAACCCAGTATCTCGTTAAGTGGTTAGACTATGACCACAGCGATAATACTTGGGAACCCCTGGAAAACCTCATGAATGTCAAAGACAAAGTAGAGGAATTCCATAAGATACACCGGATGCTCCAAGAGCAAAGCCGCGAACACGTAAAATGCACAAAATCGCTTTGTCCGACCACTCTGATGAATTCATGTTCTTTTTCCGCACCCATCCAAATGCCCGAGCACCCTACAAGGGGTCTCCAGAAGCTGTAGGGTGGGATGTCAAGTCCATACAAGACATAGACATTCCCCCACATTCCAGAATGCTCATTGGCACTGGGCTTGCGGTCAATCCCCCAAAGTGGACATACATTCGAGTGGTCCCCGAAGTGGGCTAGCTCTCAAAGGAATTGATGTCGCAGCAGAGGTAATTGACCCAGACTACACAGGGGAAATCAAGGTGCTTCTCGTTAATATGACCAGCAAACCATTCGAGGTCAGGACAGGTGATCGTGTCGCCCAACTCATATGTGAATGCTACACTCCAGAAATCATTTTGAAGGCAGATAGTTCACTCGCAAAGCGAACCATATGAGGTGCCAAAAGCTTTGCTCATCGAGACGATGAACCTTGAGAAGATGGTTTTTACCTGACAAGTCATTATAGAAACAAATGCCATTAGAAGCATATTATTTTCATCATTTCACGTCGCACAAAGGATCATGTGACCTAATGAGATAAGATAATGAGGCATCTAGTCACATGACCTCAGATCTCTCTTGGCATAGTCATGTGTCACCAAGCTTCTCAGCATGGCGTCATATGTTGCAATCACCATAACGCCATATTGCATGCTCAAGAGGAGCTCCATCTCCGTGGGTTATTATTAGGCAACCAATCAGGATAATTGGGACACATCGTACAATTGTAGCACCGTCCAGTAGAATAGCATGTGACTCGCTTATATAGTACTGTACAGTAGCTAGACAATCATGTATATAAGGACCAGCAAGACGAGGAGGAGATCTCAGTCTTATTTTCCTTCGTCCACCACTACCATTACAGAGGAGTCTTACCAGACACTCTCAGTGTGCTATACATTTAGTTACATCCTCACCGTTATGATAGCGCCCTTGCCTCACCAGTAAGTCTTAATCTGCGACTAGCGACTAGGCCTTGTCAGTGGGCACATCGATCCGCCACAGCTCGTCGCTGTTGGCTCTTACCAGAGACCCTCAAGGGGACTCTTATTTTGGTTGTCTATCTTTGTCATCGACGTGCCGTGACAGCTCTCATAGCATGCAGCAAGAGAGATTCTGAAAGATCAACATGCCAAATATATCTATAGTCAAGAGGCATGATGTCTGCACCCAAATGAGCTAATAGTGTGTGTGTATCGACCACAGGAGGCAATTTATCCCTGGAGAGGAGGGGCCCAGCAAGTGCTGTCACATGTGACAGGTTGTTAAGATGGTTTCGT